ATCTTCTAAGAGAGTTTTTTAACATCCGGTGTGCATGAGGCCTCATGGGCACATTAGCAAATGGTTCGCTTTGCCCATAGGTTCCTACAGTCAACTCTCTGAAAATGGTGCCAACTCCATGGCGTGGTGGAGACCTTTAACAACATCATTACTTTTGGAACAATAATGGTTTATTATATTGTGTGTAGCCATACCTTTTTGCTGGGGTGGGCCTACGACTTCACGCCTGTACTTTCCCTATGTACCACCCCCCCCCCCCCCCTTTTTTTTTTTTCTTTAACATTTCCCCATGCCATCCCTCTTCCTGTTCTTTTTTCACTTCATATGGTGGGTGATTGTTGGAGTTACTCATCTGATTTGGCATGCATACCCTGTTGATTGCTGGGACCCACAGACCTTTGTTGATAGACTATAACCAGTCTATAATTCTTGTACTATGTATACTATGTCTGAGATTGTACTAAATACTGCATGGATGGGACCTAATTGTCTCTTTGTTGTTACTTTTATATCTTCAATAAGCTTCAATTGTGTAAAATATAAAAGGATGACAACCTGCCATGTCAGCATTTGGTCAGACCTGAGAAACCCGACGGACAACTGCTGCTTCCAATCAAACCTGGCCACTACTCCAAGCCAACTAAACAAAAGAAGATATGGGCCAAGTGGGAAAGGTTTTCTGATATGGTCTACAACTTGTTCTACAGAACGGTATACCCTCTGGCCTTTAGAAATCTGTACACTGCAAAACAGTGCAGCCAAACAGAAATCCACATTTCACTGTCCCAGGTGGGCTAAATAGAGGAAAGATGTCACCTGCTCACTATAGGTTAGCCCATGACACCACTCTTGACATTCTTACAGTCATGAATGATGTTGTTTCCACATCCTACAGCCTCCATGGATCATATATGATGTTGTCAGGTGTCAGCGCCTTCTGAAAAAAAATCTAAAGCTGTCTATAGATGGATTGGAATTTTTCAGGTTTAGCATGGTCCAGCTGTATCTTGATCCATGTGTGGCCATCCCCATTTGACAGAAGTCTATCATTAGTTCAACTTCTTTTGAACAGGAATGTTGGAGAACTTTTCTTGATCAGCAGCTGCAGCCTCTGATCAGTGTATTTGAATCCCACAGCCATAATACGTCTCAGAGGAGAAGATTCCTCCATTCACCTCGCTTGTGTAGATGAAGGAATCCATTCATTTTTCCAATCAGCTCGCTGGCTGATCATAAAATTATGGGTCATCTATGGCCACCTTAAAATAGATATTGTTGAGCCGAAGACCGCTTCTGCTTTACCAGTTAAAACTCTTAAAGTGTCACCACTGTCACCGGTATCAAAAATAAGCATGCTGCTAAATCTAGTAAGTGTCTATCCTCAAGTCATTTCAGTCATGTGAGCACGGTCACATCAGGTCCAGCACAGCTCAATAGTTCAAGGATACGTAAGGCCTACTCCAGACAATTTTCAGATAGAGAAGACAAGAATAAGAAGCCTGATTCCTATGTATTTTTAACTGCTGCCTGTTTCCTGGTTGAGATGTTTTTTGTCAAGTGTTGGCAATCAGTCATCCCCTTTCACCTCTGAGCATTTTGTTGCAGGATTCCAGACACAACAGAACTCAACAGGAACCCTGTTCACACCTGAGAGTTGTGTCGCTTGTTGTGTGAGGCTCAAAAAAAAAAAAAAAAAAGCCCATGAGCTTCTCGCAGGCAGAAATGTGAATTTAGGACCCCATAGACTTTAATAGAAGCACCTGGAAAATGCATAGTTATGGACTTTTTCAGGTGAAAAGGTCTATAGGGCAAAAATCTCATGCTATACATGTGAATTGCGTTTGATTAGCTAAGATCAGAAGGCACTGCTGGGATATCATGCATACAGTTACAAGGTCAGGATATTTAACCTTGCACAAGCTCCAGGGCTATCAAATTTATGCTTGCTTCACTCATTCATGAACCCCTGGCCCATCACCTGATAAGCACATGCTTCTTTCAGGTCACAACGCACCATGTAGTGAAAGGTGGATAAGAAGACAACCCCCAAGTATGCCACCAAAAAAAAAAAAAAAAATCACAAGTGACAACATCTGTCCTGACATGTTCATTGTAGGAGCTCATGACATGGAGCTTACACAGGGCTGAGGACTCTCTCCCTCCACCATGTGACAGCGACAGGTGACTGAGCAGCCAATCGCCAGTGCAGTCCATTGTAAGGAAAGTCATGATCTGTCACACTTATGCCTGCTACACACGATGACAATATCAAATGATTGTCCGCTTTTGTTTTTTTTTTTGCATGCTAGTCTCATATCGCAAAAGGTTAATACAGTTACAAAAATTCTTGAAAGACAGAATACAACATGGGAAGTGATCTAATGTGTTGGATTGTATTATAATGTATTCTTTCATTTCAGAGCATGAGCAGTCTCAGTCACTCAACTTTTGTTCGTATAAAATACTATACTAACTAGAAAAGCTACAATTTCTGGGGAAATTGTGTGAAGTGTTCTTGCCTCCACCAGTAGTCTGGATTGGGCGGAGTAACTGGGTGGCGTGGCTTGTCACTCTGCTGCCTGCTCACACCTGGGTTCTTATGGCAACTCACTCTACAGCAAGGGCAGAGAAGAGTGTTTAAAAACAAACTGCTCCAACTTGCTCACTTCACTGGCGGTTGCCATCTTCAAACGTTTGTAGTTTAAAAATTATAAATCCTACACTGAAGAGCTTTTATATAGTGAGAATCACAAGACCCAGACCTACATTTTGATGCATAGTATGTCTCTGAAATATTAAAAATTAAGGCACAGTCGCAGTTTAGAAATTGCCCTTCAAATTTGAGGTGGCTAGAGTGCAGTTTCAATGAATGTCAATGTGTGGCGTGAGTTGCAAACAAATGGTCATATTGTGAAAACTATCAGGACTATGGCTTAGCCATGGACATTTTTAGTGGCAGCAGGGATAGCTGAACGTTTTGATATAAGATTTGTGTAGGTGGGCTTGAAAATGAGGGAGTGATGGCAGTTTAGAAATCATGTCCTGATTTTTCAGCTCACTCTAGCTTTTGTCAGCTCCCACTCTAGTTTTGAACATTCCGCCATTCATTCCTATGGGACTAATTTCACCACAAAAACGGCGATATTTCGTGAACCATTCGGCGAAACGTTCCACAAAGTAATAGCACACCAATCGGGAACAATCCGCATGTTTCGGTATATTACTGTCTATGTAGTGTAAAAACTGTGGGAGGAGTTAGGGTGGTAAATTTGGCTATAATAATAAGAATATATATGTGAGATAACAGTAAGTGGTCTTGCCATGCAAGAACACTTAATTACATGAAAATCGTTTGTTCTGTTATCTTACAAGAAAAATATTCGTGCTTGTCCGTTTGGAAAATTTTGCATTGATTGTCGTGATTGGCTTTTGAAAACTGTGTACCAATGATCAAATTATTAGATGATCGCTCTGAAAGCAGGGTTTTCTTTGTCCGATTTTTGAATCGCGTGTACTAGACATTTAGAAGCTCTGGGTATTTTTCAATGTTACTGCAGCAGAAAAGCAAAAAAAAAAGGTGAGTATGCGGGACCAGAATTAAAGTGAATATTTTCCCTGCATGGGCATTGCTCGGGGTCACATATTTTAGCATATACGCAATATCTTTCCAGCTTCTCCAATGTGAGTCACACACAATGTCAACATCAGCATAGCAGAAAAAACCCGGATATAATGGATCGTCACCGTAATTTAGAGTGCTGAAGTATCCCTGGTTCTAAGTAGAACATGGAGTGGGAAACCTGCGATCCATATGCATTCCCTGCACTGCGTTCCATTCACACTGCCCATGTGATCTACAGTGGGTGCAGTGCAATGCTAACGACACTCCAAATACAGTGCGTTTGCCTGCACCAGATTGCATGGTAACATGGTACAAAATTATCATGCAATCCAGTTGCAGTGCATTTCTATTGGTGCTTGCACTACTTTGGTGTGATTTGGTGCGATCGCGCACTGCATGTGAATTTCACAGGAATGCGGTGCGCTTTCTGTGCGATTTATATGTGATTGATAGTATGAACCTAGGTTTATGGCTCTTGCACATGGCCATACAAGGTCAAATCTGCCTGGTGTGGTGCCTGGGAGTCACAGCTAGCGTGTAATTGAGCCTACTGACAAACTATGCTGTGCGCGGATATACATGCTATAACCATCAGTTTTCATATGCACATGTACAGCCGTGTGCAGGAGCCCGTAAAGCACCCATACCAAGGTTCCGGGATCTGAAAGGGCCTGAGGCCTGAAATCTGTGCATGACAAGCTCCTGTTTACACAGCAATGATGTGAACAATGTGAAAACAACTATACTACACTGACAAATATCATACGGTATGGCAGACAGGAAAGTACTAACATTTTATTTAGCTGAACATCGGGATAAACAAGTATTGTCTAAATATAGGAGGCTTGTGTATTCTTACTTCTTGGAGTGATTTGTTTATTTCTTCCAGATCTGTGCAGTAATCCAGGGTGAAATTTTACTTCTGTGCAGGAGCTTCCTGTAATAAAGACCGGTCACTGCTGCTCTCTCTACTTGTACAGGGTGACTGGTCTTCTCTCCGCCCCTCCTGTAAGTTTCTACAGGCAGCCTGCAGTGGGTGGGCCCTGGTGGGTTCCTCCCACAGCTCTGCGCACAGGTTATGTACTGCTCAGTGATGATGTCGCTCCTATTTACAAGGCAATATCTGGGTTTGCAAAGGCATTTGGTGCTCACAGGATTTACATCCTTTGGAGCTATTGAGGAACAGATTTAAACAAAAGTATTTTCACCCAGTGTTCAGCTTTAACGTTTATATTTGTCAACGTTGTTTAACCACTAGCCTACTGGGCACTTATACCCCCTTCCTGCCCAGGCTAGTTTTCAGCTTTCAGTGCTGTCACACTTGACAATTGTGCAGTCATGCAACACTGTACCCATATGAAATTATTATTTTTTTGAGACAGATAGAGCTTTCTTTTGGTAGTATTTAATCACCTCTGGGTTTTTTATTTTTTGCTAAACAAACCAAAAACAACTAAAAAATTTGAAATAAAAAAAAAAAACTCTTAAGTTTTTGTTATAAAAGTTTGTAAATAAGTGATTTTTCTCCTTCACTGATGTGTGCTAATGAGGCTGCAGTGATGGGCACTGATGAGGAGGCAATGTAGGTAGGTGGCACTGATGAGGAGGCAATGGTAGGTGGCACTGATGATCATTGACAGGCATCACTGATGGGCACTGAAAGGCAACACTCATATGGCACTGATAGGTGGCACTGACAGGCAGCACTGATATATGGCATTGATGGGCACTGACAGGTGGCATTTATAAGCACTGATAGGTGGCACTGAGGGGCTACACTGATCATCAGGGCACACTGACCATCAGTGCCCTGATGATCAGTGTACATGTCCCCTCTGAAGAATGCCGATTACCAGCTCTCCTCTCCTCTGTCAGTGTGACAGCTCGTGGGGAGAGGAATGCCAATAACCAGCATTTCCTTATTTACATGCGATCAGCTGTTATTGGACACAGCTGATCACATGACAGAGCCGACATCATCTGCTCTTTCCGTTGATCGGTGATCCACTGTGTCCGAGGGACACCGCGCACCACCGATCTACGCGCGCTGTTAGAGTGGGAGGACATCATATGACGTCCTCCCAGAACGAGAGAACCGCCTTGCGCCCGTCATTACCTCATATGGTGGGTGGGAGGTGGTTACAGAGGGCCATGTTGCACTGACGATTTTGTCATTGCAACTTGCCAGTGGCAGAGTCAAGGCGGTACAGCTGACACTTGCTCTTTGCAGAATGTCGCTGCAAGAGAACAGCGATGGAGTACTAGGGTTGGTGATCCTAGACAATGTGCAAACTAGGATCCCTTTATCTCCTTTGAGGGCTTTGACCTCACGTGCTGTCTGCAGCCTGACCTGTAATGATCTATTAATGGGCTACCGGTGTCTGCTCACTAATGTCCCTCAAAGAGGTATTAAACTCAAAAACAAACATTTATTACATTGCAGCTTACCAATTAGATGTGGTGGCTGCATTCGTTTTCTTTTTTAGGCTGTCTTTCCTTTATTTTTACCTGTTGATCTGGCCACTAAGTCTCTTGTTGGTTAACAGAACAAGCTCTCCTGAAAATGTAAGCGTTAAAGTGTTGAGACAACAAACCATTTACCACTGACAAGGACACTTAAAATGATCAGCTTTTATGTATTTATGTAAAACCTTTATCCCAAAAGAAAAAACTGTTGCTGGAACTGCTTGTGTTACTGCAGTATGAGCTGGAGTGTGGCATCAATTTATTACTTAGTGGTGCACCGAAATGAAAATTCTGGTGCCGAAACCGATACCGAGAATTCAGAATGCACGTGGCCGAAAACAGAACCGAAATGTCTGCGTATGTGGAGGTTTGGAGGCTCCAATTTTTTTTTTTTTTTTCTACTTTCATGTATGTATGTATATATATATATATGTATAATTTTATTTTATTTTTTTAACTTATGATGCTATTGCTATCACATAGGGGATCGATATTCCCCTACATGATAGCATATCTTTGTAGGGGGGGGAGGGGGTAGTGTGTGCAAGGAAGGGGGCAGGAGAGGATCAGTGTATACAGTGAGAGAGCAGTGTATACAGAGAGGCTCCCTTCACTGGCTGTCACTATGGGGTTTATTTACTAAAGCTGGAGTGTCCAAAATCAGACTCCCTTCTGCATAGAAACCAATCAGTTTCTAACCTCAGCTTGTTCAATGAAGCTTTGGCAATGAAACCTGGAAGCTGATTGGTTTCTATGCAGAAGGGAGTCTGATTTTGGACTCTCCAGCTTTAGTAAATAAACCCCTATATGTCAGTGCCGATTTTTAAATGCAATTGCCGGCTTTTTTCTTCTTCACCATAGCTCAGAGAATGAATGAATCTTTGTTTCTTTTAGCTCAGGAAAGAAACTAAAAAGAAAGTTTGTTTCTTTTAGCTCCGGGTAAGTGACAGCTGATTCTCTGAGCTATAGTGAAGAAAAAAAAAACCCCAGCAATTGCATTTAAAAACCGACACTGACATATAGGGGGAGATTTACTAAAACTGGAGAGAGCAAAATCTGGTGCAGCTGTGCATGGGAGCCAATCAGCTTCTACCTTCAGCTTGTTCAGTTAAGCTTTGACAATAAAACCTGGAAGCTGATTGGTTTCTATGCAGAGGTGCACCAGATTCTGGACTCTCCAGATTTAGTAAATAACCCCCATAGGGACAGCCAATCACTGTATACACTGCTCCTCTCTTGCCTTTCTCCGCCCCCCCCCCCTCACATCTGCAGTACGCACAGTCTCCTGTATCTGCTAAATTTTTCCTATCGACAGAATGCTGATAGAGGTATTTTCGGCCGATATGTTTCGATGCATCCCTAATTAGTATCTGCTAGTACATCTGACAATGCTCCTGTCCAAAGGTGCCCCCTGTGCTCCTTCATCCAGAATAAGGGTACTCTAATACTGGAGGTATGTTACTGGCTAGAACACCAGGTGAAAACAAAGGGAAAAAGCCTTAAAAAGAAAACTAATGCAGCCATCACATCTAATAATTGGTAAGTGGTAATAAATCACATTTTTGGTTTTGGGTTTAACCCCTTCCCAGCATTGCCTCTCAGCCCTTTAAGAGGATCTAAATGCCAGGATGTGAAGACGGGAATTCCAATCACGTGATCGCTGTGACTGTCAGTCACAACGGTCACATGATCAGAAGCTCCCGATCGCATGTATGCATTAGGACTTTTTCAGTACCCGCTCATTACTGTGTTGGGAGTGCACTCTCTGTACAGCAGTGTTTCTCAACTCCAGTCCTCATGGACCCCCAACAGGTCATGTTTTCAGGATTTCCATTATTTTGCACAGGTGATTTGATCAGTTTCACTGCCTTAGTAATTACCACAGCTGTTTCATCTGAGGGAAATCCTGAAAACATGACCTGTTGGGGGTCCATGAGGACTGGAGTTGAGAAACACTGCTGTACAGTAAGGCGTGTACCTGGGGCTTCATATATGTGACCGCTAAGCCTTGAAGCCCACCCGCTGAGAGGCTTCATATACGCACCAGGCCAGTTGGAATTGGTTAATACCACTTCAAGTTGACTAGTAGACTTTCAAATGTTCGTATGAATATTTGTACAAAAATTCTTTCTGCATTTGTTGACTGGATGAATGTTATTCGAAATCATTTCACAAATTGTTTGCTTTTAATATTGGATTTTGGAATAAATGTAATCTCCCTAACAGAATCCACATGCTTGGTTAGAGATTTGCTTGTTTGAGAAAAACATTCCATCCTACTCATTAGAATTTTCTCATCACTGAAGTAAAAAATGAATGCCACATTGACTGCAACATGTACCATGATCAGGGATGAGCTCAGACATGTCAGACATGCGTCCAAACCCAACTGAGCTATCCTGCCAGGAAGTGAAGAGCCAATCAATGACAATGGAGGCAATCACATGTACACGCTTCTTGTGTACATGCAACTGCAGGGTGAGGCAGCTAGGATGGGCTGTCAACTTTGACAGTTTCTTGGTGGAATAGTTCAGGTGGGTTTGGAAGTGTGCCTGAACATGTCTGAGCTCATCCCTGGTTGTAAAGTCAAACAAATGTTTTAAACTTAAGTAATAAACATGTTATACTACCTGTGCAAGGGTATTGGCCCCAAACCTTTTCTTCTGGGGCCCCCAGCCAGTGCTGTCTGCTCCACCCCTTCTTCATGCACCACCACAGGAAGATGCTTTCTACAGGGGAACATGTGTGGGTGTGCTCCCGAGCCAGGCTGTGTGCATCCATAGACACACACAGCACAAATTGGTCCCACCCCCTGTTCCTTCCTCACTGGATTTGACTGACAGCGGCAGGAGCCAATGGCTTCCTTCACTCTTAGCCAAGCTTGTGAGAGCGGGGAGAGGTGACAGATGATCTGCAGACAGACACATTAAGGAAGAAAACCTTTTAACTATAGAGCCACTTTGGGCTGATCATACAATGTGATTGTGCAATCTCCTTAACCACTTGCCTACAGGGCACTTTCACCCCCTTCCTGCCCAGGCCAATTACCAGCTTTCAGTGCTGTCACACTTTGAATGACAATTGCGCGGTCATGCAACACTGTACCCATATGAAATGTTTATAATTTTTTTTTTGTGACAGATAGAGCTTTATTTTGGTGGTATTTAATCACCTCTGGGTTTTTTATTTTTTCTTAAACAAACCAAAAACCACTGAAAATTTTGAAAAAAAAAAACGTTTTTTCTTAGTTTTTGTTATACAATTTTGTAAATAAATGATTTTTCTCCTTCACTGATGTGCGCTAATGAGGCTGCAGTGATGGGCACTGATAGGCTGCACTGATGGACACTGATAGGTGGCACTGATGGGCACTGATGAGGAGGTACTGGTAGGTTGCACTGATGGGCATTGACAGGCATCACTGATGGGCACTGAAAGGCAGCATTGATACATGACACTGATATATGGCACTGATAGGCGGCACTGACAGGCGGCACTGATTGGCATTGATAGGTGGCACTGACTGGCACTGATGGGTGACATTGAAAGGCAGCTCAGATGGGCACTGGTATGCACTGATATGTGGCATTGATGTGGCACTAATGGGCACTGGCAGGTGGCACTGATGAGCACTGATGGACACTGACAGGTGGCACTTTTGGGGCCACACTGATCATCAGTGCCCTGATGATCAGTGTACATGTCCCCTCCGCGGAAAGCCGATTACCGTTCTCCTCTCCTCTCAAGCTGTCAGCGTGACAGCTCGAGAGGCGAGAAATGCCGATAACCGGCATTTCCCTGTTTACATGTGATCAGCTGTGATTGGACACAGCTGATCACATTGACCAAGCCGACATCTTCGGCTCTTTCCGTGATCCGCTGTGTCCGAGGGACACAGCGCACCGGCGATCACTGCGCGCTCCCTGTGCCGCACATGCGCGGTGAGAATGGAAGGACGTCATATGACATCCTATCAGAACGAGAGAACCACCTTGCACCTGTCATTGTATTATATGGCGGGCGGAAGGTGGTTAAACATGGGTTCACACTGATGCAGTGCAGCACATCGCATGTGATTTGCATAGGAAACGCACTGCATTCCTGTGCAAACCACATGCGATTTCTGTGGAGTGCAATTTGAGCCATACATTAGTATGACTCAAATTGCACCAAATCCACATCAAAACAGTGCAGGACCTTTTTTTCTGTCTGCATCATAGTCGGATTCGATTCTGCACATGGCACTACATTTGGGGAATCGAGTTTGGGGTGTCAACTTAAGATACTTTTCTAGGGACAACCCAAAATTTGTTTTTTTTTTTTTACTTTCACTTTCAACAACAATGATAAACAGGACAAATAGAGAGGGGGAATCTCCCTACCATGGCACAGACAGCAATAAAAGCTGACAGGGGCTATAATCCATCTCTATCCAAAACAGTTAAACCACTTGCCCTCCAGAGGATTTACTACCCCCCCCCCCCCTTCCTGATCAGGCCATGTTTGTAATATGGAGCTGCGTTACTTTAACTGACAATTGCGCGGTCATGCAACACTGCACCCAAATGAAATTTATGTCCTTTTTTTCCCACAAATAAAGCTTTCTTTCTGTGGTATTTGATCACCTCTGCGGTTTTTATGTTTTGAGCTAAAAAAATAAAAAAGTCTGACAATTTTGAAAAAAAAAAAAACAATATTTTTAACTTTTGCTATAAAACATATCCAATAAAAAAAAATAGAAAATCAAATTTCATCATAAGTTTAGGACAAAATGTATTCTGCTACATGTCTTTGCTAAAAAAAAAAAAAATCCCAATACGTGTAAATTAATTGGTTACAGTGTCTACAAATGGCGATATAGATATTGGGATTTTTAGATTTTTTATACTAGAAATGGTGGCGATCAGCAACTTATAGCGGGACTGCGGTGGGCATCCTGACACTGGGTGGGAACTGACTACCTGCCACTGACATCCCCAGTGACACCAATACAGAGATCAGTGCCTGATTGGAGACTGGAATGGATTGTGTAGGCGTGTCCTTCTATTGGAGACAATAAGGGCTCATTGACATCGCATGCAGCCAGCTGTGTTTATAAATGCAGCATGAAGTCCTATGCAGGGATATTGAATGTGTGCCAGTGAGCCGAGTTCACACATCGCTGCACTGCTTTCATGGGTGTTAAAAAAAATAAATAAATAAATAAAAGTCCAGCATGCGGCATTTTTCACACCGGTACACACGACAAATGAGCATAATGGAGGCCATAGACGGGTTGAAAATCGGTTGATTTTTCGGCTGGGGAAAAAAAAAAACGGCAGATTTTCGCATCGTTGGTGGGTTAATTGGGTCGGCCGTTTTTCGGGGTTTTTGCACATTTTTTTTTTTTATGGGTCATGTTGGAAAATTTGCGTCCGATTTTGACGATCGGCCGATTTTCCCGGCAATGATGGGCAAATCGGGAAGAAGAGAGGAGGAAGAAGAAGAATCCTTCCTACGAACTGGAAGTCCAGTCTGATATTATATTTTATATGAAAAAGTCTTGTGGTTGCAACAAATGTATCCAAACAGAAACATTGTAATCCAAATAATATATTTGTATTGCTGTCACATTGTATGGTGCGCTCCCCTGTCTCTGTCTAATGCCGGCCATAGACGGCCGATGTTCAACCCGTCTATGGCCCGCCTAAAGCTGTGTAAATGTAGCTTAGTAAAGAAAATAAATTCTGAGAAATAAAAATCTAGAAAAAACGCACCACAAAGGCACTGAAGACACGCACAAACGTGAACGCTGAAACACCCAGAGTGGTGGGTTTACAGACTGTGCAGTTCCTCCAGAGTTAGTAAGCCTGCTTTCACACTGATCTGTTGCGGGTCTGCTGCACTTTTCAAAGTTTTTTAAAAACGCACCGCAAACGCAGTAAAAAGGTAAATGCATTTTTGCTGCGGATCAGTGTGAAAGTAGCCCAAGCCCTGGTTCACACCGGTGCGACTTCAGGTGCCACATCCAATTTACACCTCTAATGTATGTCTATGGCACAGGGGCGGACTGACCATTTGGAAACTCGGGCACTGCCCGAGGGCCCGGGGTCAGTAGGGGGCCCCATGAGATGCCCCTGATACCTTTTTTCATAGGCTTTTTTGAGTTTGGGCAAGGACATAGGGGCCCCATGATCCCCTATTGCCCGGGGGCCCCATGAGTTGTCCGTCCGCCCCTGCTATGGCACTGTCTTAATCAGTGCGATTTGAAGTAGTCTGATTTCAGACATAGATCCTACTTTTTTCCGATTGCATTGCAACTTTCTGGTAAATGAAGTTGCAAGCCGCAGTGAAATCAGAGGTACGAATTGCACTGATCTGCGACTTTGAAGTAGTGCGATTTGTAAAGTTGCATTCAATGTGTACCAGGGCTAAGTGGTCATTCACACTTGTGCAACTAGTCATGCTACTTAAGTCACCGGTCACACCGCAGCAATTTAAAATCATGCGATTTGTGTGCAATTTCAGTACGATTTCAGGTGCGATTTCCAAAGACATTATTGCTACTTGTGAAGATTTTCACCAATTTCTTGCAATTTGCAGTGCGATTTCCACTATATTCTATGCATGTGAAATCGCAACAAAACTGCAGAAAAAGTAATGTAAGAACGACTTTAGAAATCGCATTGCAGCAAATCGCACATTAAGACACTGATAGTCACATTCATTAGGTGCGATTTCCAAATCGCACCAGTGTGACCGGGCACTAAGCCCTGGTTCACACTGGATCCGACTTTGAAATCGTGCAACTTCACTTGAAGGTGCACAATTTCAAAATCACGTCAGTGCGACTTCAGGCTCCATTCACATTCATGCGACCTTCGGGTCCAAAGTCGCATGACAAGTCGCCCACCATGTTTGTCAATGGGTACCATTCATATCTGTGCGACTTCAAAGTAGTTCCTACATTACTTTGGTCTGACGTTCAAGCAACTTGAGGGCCCATAGACTTCAATGTAAACCCTCCAAAGTCGCACCTGAATGTTGAACATGTGACTTGTGTGCGACTTTGTACAGCAAAAACAATTATCCTTGGTCAAATCCAAGTTGTGTTAAATCCCACTGTTAAGTCGCAATGAAAATCACACGATTTTGAAGTCACACAAGTGTGAATGGACCCTCAGGCGTGACTTGGAACACATCTTTGCGACTTCATGTACAGATGTCTATGCAAGTCGCACCTGAAATTGCAAAAAGCAGTGCAGGAACTACCTTCAAGTCTGCAGTTGCACTGGTTTGAACAGTTCCATTGCTGACAAAAAGTGTGCGACTTGTCATGCGATTTGAAACTGTCAAATCACATGACAAGTTGCACCAGAGTGAACAGGGCTTAGAGTCCAAAGTTGCACCCCATGTCTTCCACTGAGTACCATTCATATCTGTGCAACTTCAAGTCGCAGCAACCTCAAAGTAGTTCCTGAACTACTTTGGGCGGACTTCCATACAACTTGATGGCCATAGACTTCAATGTAAACTCTCCAAAGCCACACCTGAATGATATACATGCGACTTTGTACAGCACAATCATCCTTGGTCAAAGCCAAAGTCGCATCAAAATTGCATGAAGTCGCACTGTAAGGCTCTATTCACACTTGTGCGACTTTAGCTTTGACCAAGGATCATTGTTTCTTCTGTACAAAGTGGCACATACAACATTCAGGTGTGACTTTCATGTAAATTTGGAGGGTTTACATTGAAGTCTGTGACCCTCAAGTTGCATGAAAGTCAGACCAAAGTAGTGCAGGAACTACTCTGAAGTCGCACAGATATGAATGGTACCCATTGGGAAACATGATGGGCGACTTGTCATGCGGCTTTAGACTCCAAAGTCGCACATAAGGCTCCATTCACACTTATGCGACTTGTCATGTGACTTTGGGGTCCAAAGTCGCCCCCCATGTTTCCCAATGGTCTACCAGTCATATCTGCGTGACTTCAGAGTAGTTCCTGCACTAATTTGGTCCGAGTTTCATGCGACTTGAGGGCCATAGACTTCATGTAAACCCTCCAAAGTCGCACCTGAATGTTGTACATGCGACTTGTGTGCGACTTTGTACAGCAGAAACAATTATCCTTGGTCAAAGCCAAAGTTGCACTCATCCAAAGTCACAATGAAAATCGCACGATTTTGAAGTCGCACAAGTGTGAACGCAGAGGACACCGTCCACTGGTCGTTAGTAGATCCTCCTCGTAGACTGCAATGTAATGAAGTTGTGCAATCAGATCGTCATGTGTGTGTGCGGTCACAGGCGATCACCATGGTGACGCCGGATGGGTAGATGATCAATGGCAGGGACACCGACAGAGGACCCTCCGTACACCGGCCCAGAGTGGGCAGGACGTGTCACTGTCACCGGAGCCACCCGCTCCTTTCTACAGACATACCCCGAGCCTCCCCCGTCCGCTCTCACCCCGTGGACGTGGTATCCCTCGTTGCCGCCCTCGGCGGGCTCGGAGCTCAGCGACAGCCCCATCACCGGGAACACTCCGCCGGACACACTCTGCGCTGACACACCGCCAGGACTGCCAATCAACCACCGACACCTAGACAGGGGGAGAGCACATCGGGGATCGGCTCATCCGCCTGGAGGAGGAAGAAGGATGGTGAGGTCAGATGGTAACACAGGAAGTGCCCGGGTAACCAGGGACGCCCGAGGAGGTGAGACTGAGAATGTACCGCACCGAGATCCATAGAGATCCCATAGAGGGGGCAGAGATCCCATACAGGAGGCAGAGATCCCATAGAGAGGACAGAGATCCCATAGAGGGGGCAGAGATCCCCTATATGGAGGACAGAGATCCCATAC